AGTACCCTATTAACATGTGCCCCCCATTACATCCTGCCTCCACCTCTTCTGCCTTCTCTTTCTTCAAGCTTCTTAGCACTGACTGATGTCATACATTTGTTTTCTTGATGGCTTATTTCTCCTATCCACTAAACTATGAGCAGGGTCTTGGTTTCTCACAGCCACGTCCTAAATGGCTAGAACAGTGCCCTGCATGTGGTTTGTTCTAAGTAGAAGTGAGTTGAATGAAAGAACTGAATGACCAGAAGGAATCTGACTTACACGTGAAAACACATCAGTCTGGCTGCTGTGGGGCAATGAATTTAGGGGAGTCAAGAGTCAAAGAAACCAATGATATGGCTTTCATTGAAGTCCAGAGGGGAGATCACAGTGGAAGAAGCAGAAGGGTGATAGCTACTGCCATGCTGGTCATAAAAACCATAAGATGTCCCTTGGTGTTAGAAAAGGAGTGTTGAGATGTCCTCACCAGTGGTTTCTTCATGTGGCGCCATGAGGCGTCATAAACAGATATTTTTAAAAGCTGCTAAATCAAGATATTATTCTTATGTACTTACATGTTAACAAGATAAAACTGATAAACTAATGCGATTTGACAAAATCTAACAACACTAAAAAATGCCCATGATCTAATGATTTTCATTGCCAGGAATTTATCATTTGTATATATTCACAAAAGTATGTCAGTTGGTAGGCAGAGATGTTCAGCCTGTCATTGCTTGTAATATTCCCAAACCAGAAAGAACATGAATACTCATCATTAGGAGCTCCTTTAAAACACTTAAGAAAAAAATTTTATATAGCTATTAAATAAAATGCAGAAAGAGCTTTAAGATTAAGGTATATTGTGTGTTTATAAAGATTCCATTTATGTTAAAATAGCACACACAACATTGATAGATATGGGTACAATTTCTGATAAACAGGGAGAGAAATAGAGGGAGGGAAGAGAGATAATTACTGTAAATGAAAGATTTTCTTTTTTTAAGAATTTATAAAAAATATAAGCAGTGGTTGTGTCTATGTATGCATGTGTATATCTATTCACATATACACACACATATTTTTTACCTTTTGTTTTATATATCCTTCCTCAGGATATATAAAAAACATAAGCAGAGAGAATGCAGCAGTGGAGAGAATTTTCTTTCTTTCATATACCTTTCTGAATTAGTTGACTTTTTAAAAACATAAACTTGCATTTTATTTGAAAAACAAACAACATCCCTTTGAGCTGTTGAACATCTCAAAATGTTGAGATGTATTTTGAACATCTAGCAAAATGAACAAGAATGTACCACTACATCATTGCCCACTCTGTGATTTTTATGGACAGTAGCTCCAATGATTGACTTACTCATGCACTATGAATGAATACACATACACAACATTTTGTATATGGATAAAAAATATATTTGAATACTCTGTCAAATGCAGTAGGACAAATGCCTTTGATTAGGATACAACAGGTAGAGCCAATATTCCTAAATGACTTTCAGGCTTGAGCCAATTATTTAATTTGTGATTATACCATCTGAAAATGTTTTTCAACAATGCTGGAGAGATCCTAGCTGTCAATGCCTCACTGACCATTTTTTTGTCCTCAAAAAGAAGATGTGAACTGTTCCATTGCTTCTTAAGGAAGCATTTTAGCTGTTATTAGCTGTGTTGTTACTTCACATTAAAGACTAAGCTCCATTCCATTCCTAAAATGTAATCCATTCTCTCAGTAAAGTTCTGTTGGCCTCTGTGGAAAAGGTAACACTCAAAAGTAGATATAACACCACTTTCTTTCCTAAGACAGAGTTTATTTGACTTACGCTCCAGGTGCTTATGCAATGAAACAAAAGTTACCTAGGGAAACAGAAATGTATCCTCATATATTCTTAGGAAAAGCAGTATATAATTGCATTTTTAAAGCATATATAATTGACATAGCTCTTTCAAAGGCAATTAACTATCCTGGCCTTTACTTCAATCACCTACCTAACTGTGCTATAACTAACTCTCTCTAAATGTTACCATAAGATGGGGCTTTGTTTAGAGTTCACTGTATCTGCTCTAAACAATTTCTACTCTCAGGAATGTGAAATGTTTATCTCATCCACTTTTTTATTCAGTTGTAAATGTATTTCTAAACAAGTATCTTAATTACCGTTTGCTGGAAAGTCACAGAATAGTTGGGTATTTTGCAAGTCAATTTAGGAGAAAAACAGAAGGCCTGGTTAAGTCCATTTTAGGTGGTGGTAAGCACTGCAGTCTAAACACACAGACAGAGCCAACCGTTCCCCCTCTGGGGCCCGTACTGTCACATCAACAAAGCAAACAAAAGGTCCTGGGGAAGATGAATGAAGATTACCCATCCCAGCTAAAACTGGCTAGTGCTTCTCTTGTTAAGGACTCTCCTGAAGGGACCCATACCAGGTTTAAAAGTATTAGGTCACTGCAGGTCATCTGCATTTCGCTACCCAACCAGACTAGAAACAGCAAAGGTGGGTGGTTTTTTTGTACTAAAAAGTACTATCTGCAAACAAAATCATATTACACTACATAGCACTGCTAAAGCTGTGATGCCCTAAAGGGCTGGTTCTTCAATTGCTGAAGTGATGTCTGACCATGGGGAGGTGGGATTCACAAGAAACAAAGCTGCAAGGCTGGCAGCTGGCGTGACAGAAATGAGGATAATAAGACAATGAGACTAGATGGAGAGGTGAACTCGGGGAAGCCCAGGCTCAGAGGTCTTATGAATTAGCTGATGATACCAATAGCCAGCAGAAAGGAGGAGATGGCCAGGTCACTCTACTGCAATGAAACAAAGTTTCCAGAGCCCAAAGTGTAAGTGACTTCACTAGTTAACCATGGCACAGCCACGGCAGCATTTGGGAGGGCAGCACGAGCCCGGTGGAATGCCTCTGAGCAACATCAAACCACCAGGCCAGTAATTAACCTCACTTTATATGGAAGAGGTCTCTTGCTCCAACTTGAGCAATCCTGCTCCTCTCAGGAAAGCAATTACAGCATAGAAGTGGAAACAAGAAACTTCCGAGCCTCAGTTTCAGCTCAGATACCATCCCTGGCAGCCTCTGTCCCTCTGACTGCAAGATCAGGACACCAGCTACTTCCTTTAAGGGTTAGAGGGGTTTTAGATTATGAAATGTTGTGGAGATGACAAGGACTACGTCTCAGTCTTATATCACTGGCAGGCAGTTTAACAGTCTCTGTTTCTATGTCAGCAAACAAGTTTTTACCGTTTTGTCCATCTAGACATTTCAATAGCAGTCACTGCCACAGTCCTAAGTGCTTTTCAGCAGACAACCCATCGAAAGACTGCTTGGGAGCTTGGCAGAATGACATGCTGCTGTGTCATGGTATAGTCTTTAAGAGCCTAAGAATTTAGGAAAGAAGATTTTCTTCAAATTGATCAATGCTATGCCTCATGACAATACTGCTTATTTCTTACAGGTAGATAATTTGGGAAATGAAATAGCTCTAGCATTGTGTTCCACTGCACATTACAGATGGAGCATTTTAAGTGCCATTTTAAAAAAACAGCATTATTTTTTTTTCTAAACACCACATATGCCTATAGATAAGGCAAGTTTAACCCCCTACAAATAGCTGCAAAAAGGGGGTCTCACATTATATTTGATCCTTACAGAGTCTCACATCTTCCACCCACTTGACCTTGAGAAGCACAGAGGATTTTGGGGAAAGGCAGATTTTTCTGAAACAACCTCAGTTATTGCTACCACTGGATGTTCACCAATGCCACCTGCAAAACTTGAGTTAAAAAGAAAAGAATAAAAAATTATTCCCAGGGATAGGGCTTCACAAATGCTGTGCTGAATGACAAAACAGACATTTAAAGTTCACTTTCAAAGGCAATATGGTAAGTCGTTACATTATGGGACCAGTTATATCCACTCAGGATGAACTGGGACGAGGAAAAAAGAAAACAAGTCCTAATGTTATGTGTCTGTGGGATGAAACTTCAGGAACCATACTGCCCACAGAGCCCAAAAGTGCTTCTTCTTGCCAGCTTGGGATTAAGATGAAGATAATATATTCTGTAAACCTATATGGAAAGGCTGACTGAGAAAGTGGTGATCAGGACACTGACCCACAATTCACACAAAGAATCTGAATAAGACATTTCTTGATATGTATGAAGAAAAAAAAAGCAATATTAATTTTATATAATGTGATTTTATGTGTATGTGTAAATAAATCAAACCTACTTTAAGTAGCTTGACTTCAGGTTTACTTATCCCTAAAGGGTTACTTATTCAAAGTGGTCATGAAAAAATTTTTTGAATCTTCTCATTGAAAAATGGTAAACATTTGATAAAGTCTTATAGCTGGGCATATATGAAGCTAATTCTAGTATATTTCATTATAACTTTTTTGGTAGAGGAATGTGAATAACACACTTCAAGAATTTTCTAAACATTTGGTTTTGCAATGATTTCAAAGAACTGCTTTCTAAATGAAAAATGGTTAAGATACAAAATAATTATGACAAGGCACACATAGGGATAGGGTTGGAATATACAGGACCAGAAAATAAATTCCTGAAGTGGTATGGACTTCTCCTTAAATGAGCTCAGTGTACCTCCCCAAAGGTGGTGCCCTCTGATCCTTACATCTCTCCTTCACAGAGTACAGCACCAAGATTTGGGTTTTTGTATCAATAACAAATCCAAATGAAGCTCCAGCCAGCGCTGCTGCAAGGAACTGTGAACTGAACACTCGTGGACACCACTCACATCATAGTCATCCTTGATTTGCAAATTTCTGTGGACAGTTTTTTGGCAGAGCAGGAAAAGGCACCTCCTTCTAACTGGCACGAAGGTGCCCGCTGGGCTCTAGGAGAAGGTCTTTTCTAGGTATAGAAATCTGAGGATTGACTTCATGCTGATGAGCAGTTCTGTTCACACAGTTTGCCCCTTTTACTAGTTTGGGAGATGAACACATATCAAATAAGTAACTAAAAGGGAAGATACCTTGTAGATCCCAAAGAAACCCAGGTCCCTTAGGACGGACAGGGCACTGACTCGGGGACCAGTGGTGATTTCTCCAGCCACTTGCAAACGGATCTTGACGATTTCCAAAGGATTTGTGAAAATCACCTGGGAGCCTCCTGCCTGGAAAGAAGAAAAAGAAAAGATTTAGGATCAAAGTAGGGTAATGATAGGAGGAAGAGATGAGTGATTATTCTCATCCACAGAGCTTAGAACTTTCTATCCTCAAGAGACTATAGTTTCAGTCTTTATCCCCTAGCAGTTGGTGATTATGAGACTGAATCAAAATACAGTTACTGCCAGGAGGACTTAGGTAAAGAGCCTATCTCCTTCACGTGGAGGCTGAAAGAGAGCGAAGACCAGAGAGAGGCTTTTACTGGCCTTGCCAAGGTCCTCACACTGAAATGACCAAGATTCAGCTGCCTCAACAGAGCTCAGGGCCAAAGGCACAAAGGCAGCAATAAAATGAAAATCAAATAGTGTCCAAATAAAGAGACACACATCTGCCTGTCATAACAGGAAGGGACAGGGAGGACACAGCCTCTCCTATGACTGACTTCAGGATTCTGGCAGTAATTCAAAAACTGCCAGAGAACTTGTAAACTTAGACGAAAGCTATTTTCTTAAAAAAAATCATGTTGATCATCAGACACCATTTTTTACGGAGTTACACATTCTTATTAATTTTATTAATGTGTTACTTGTGTATAGAATTGCTCTTTTCATATGAGATAAATGTCAAAGCAGTAAAAATATTACATCAATTATGGCCCAAACTTGGAACGCATGGTATTTCATTCCAGCAGTGGCTGGTGCCACACCTCCGACATCAGCAGGGAAAATCTCTAAAGGGCGCTATAAGGGAAATTTTAAGCTAGCTATTCTGAAGCTAAGCCTATATTTATAATAAGCAATTACATTCTTCCTTACTGTACTTCAACTTGTTATTCCTTGTCACAAATACATTAAACTCTTATATTACACAAACTAAGGCTGATAGGAAGTATAGTTCAGAATCTTGATTATGCACTGATGTACCAAACTAGACACAGACATGGTGCTGACATTTTATATATTAGTAGATGCCATTATGTATCTACCAAATACCATACAAAACTACTTCTTGTTAGTCTCTGATCCCATTAACCAATGCACGTGTTGTCACAAAATGGCCTGTACTAATCAAAACCAGCTACAAGGATGGTCTTCAAAGTAGTTTGTATTATCTAAAAACAAAAATTAGAAACAACATAAATATCCAATGGGAGAATTAAAGATGGTGGCATGAGAGGTGAGACAGACCTCCTCCTAAAACCACATATAATAGGAAAATATAATTAATACAACTAATCCTGAAAGAGCAAGAGGGAGGGGCGAGGGAGGGTGGGTGGGGAGGAAGGGGAAGGGGATTGAGGGGTGTTATGATTAGTACACATGGTATGGTGGGATCTTGGGGAAGACTGTAGCAGAGAAGGCAAGTAGTGACTCTGTGGCATCTTACTACACTGATGGGCAGTGACTGCATTGGGGTGGGGGGGGACACGACAACTGGGGTGATTATAGTAACCACATTGGTTTTTCATGTGAAACCTTCATAAGAGTGTATATCAATAATACCTTAATAAAAAATATCCAATGGTAAGGGATGGAATAAATGAATTTGAGTATGTCATGCAACGAGGTACTATACTGCCAATAAAAATACTGTGGAAAATGATCAATATATACTGTGAAGCAAAAACTGTCATGTTTAAATGCATGCACACCTTTCTCCCTGCTATCCCTGACCATCAAGTAGGAGAGATATACCAATGTGGTGCTTTTGAGATGGTAGGATTACAAATGGTTTATTCTCTCCTTTGCCATTTTTTATTTCTTCTATACAGATCATGTGTTGTGTCTACAAAGGAAAATAAAAACCTCTGCATAGCTTACCTAATATGTATTACCTAACACAGCAATGTTAACCAAAAAAGCAAAGAAAAATATATATCCATTAACTCTCTAAATCTCTAAAAACTGTATCGCGTTTGCTTTTCCGTTTTTACCAACTGGATACTTAATCAAAACAAACTTGTTCTTCAAAACAGATCAAGACTGTCCCTCTGTCCACACATTAACCTGTTAATAAGGCAGTGGTATTCTCCAACGTGTAGGCTGCTAAATGGACTGGCTCTTCTTACTTCCTTTTACCACATTTCATCCATCACCTTCCCCTCTCCTAGGTGACCCTAAGGAGGTGGGCCAAACATTCTTGGTAGAGAAAACCTGGGTTGGATTCATCAAAAGGCCTGAGAAGGCCCTTCTAAAGTGGGAAGGGAAGCACAAGAGGATACACCCATGGGCTGGTGTGTTCATCTGGCTCCCAGGAGACTTTCTGCTCTCTCTTCTGTATGGCTCAGACAGCTACAATTTGCTCCCACACTGCTGCAACCTGCAGGAAGGAGGGAAGACACCCCTGCCTGTCTGCAGCCCTTGGGTATTTCCTCGCTTTGTACCTGCATCTTCCCACATGACACGGAGGGAAGTAAGCTGGCAGAATAAAGAGAGGAAATGGACCTGGCCTAGTGACAGCACTAATGGCACAGTAAGCATTGTGTTTGTGCTCTGGACCTGAGCTCTTGAGTTGCAAAAATAAATGAAAACCGAGTATTTAAAAATCGTTTTAAGAGTGCATATGCTGAGAGAGATTCCGTGAGTTGGAATATACCTGAGGCTGATTTTTAAAAGCTCAAAAGTGGGTGAGACCATCTCCACCAAGGTAGCATGGAAAGCAGCCAGTGTATGCTCATCTTGAAGACAAGGACGCAGTGCACACTCACCGAGCACTGGCCATGGGGGATGGAGGCAGCCGAGCACCGCACATGAAGATGGAGCCTCGGTCCTTACGTGCCAAACCATCTCACTTATTGTGAGGATCAAGGACAATGGCGACTGTACTGCAGCCAGCACAGTGCTGAGGACAGCAGTGACTCCAAACGTGTAGGTTTATTTTCCTCTGTCTCCTAATTTGATGGTTGTCCTCAACTGCATGTTACAGTCACTTGTGGCTTTTAAAAAGTTGGGGCTTCTCGACTCTACTCCACACAATTAAATAAGAAATTCTGTATCATTCCTTTAAAACAAATTTTTTCCTATGTGATTAAAATGTGCAGTGAGAGTTGAGCATCATTTGGGTTCACTACATCACCTCTAGTATCTTTTTCAATTCTGAGAGGCTGCTTAATAGGCTTACTTCCACACTCTTTCAGAGTAACTTTTCATGTTTTACATCTGATCTCCTAACAAACTTTTTACACATACAAAAGTGGTGCCATTATTAAAGGGTACAATTCTTTGGTATAGAACCACTGCATTATTCATTATCTTCTATCTGGTGATTAAAAGGTATTATATCATATAGATACAATATAATAAAAATTTATACTCAGTTCCCTGACTCTCAGCCGATGGAGAGATACCAATTCTTAAAGCACAGCAAAGTGAATTCTCTTCACTAAGATGATGCAAGTTGGATCTACTTTGGAGAGCTGCAGGGAACAGAAGCAGAAGAAAGAAAGAGTGTAGTGATACTAGTAAAAAATAATGATGCACTTGTTACCTTGGGTGGGCTCAGAAAGAATGAACCTACAGATTCCAAGTGGCACATTGCAGAGGTGCTGAAGATGAATTGGTCCTTTGGAGTCCAGCTGGAAGGAAATGAGAGACCCCAAGGCACCAAGAGAAGATGCTTATCATCGGATGCACAGTGTCTGGGCATCACCACGCCTTGGTCACTGAGCAGCACGCTGTCTGCTGCTCTTCTGGCTCCTGGTCTATTATCCATTCACAGTACCTTCCCCATGTCCCTCACTTGCAGAGATCAAAGATAGCCGAGTCCGCAGACGGCAGACAGGAACACCTATTGTGCACAATGTCTTTGTGTCCCTCATCACTTGAGAGCCCTGGCTGTGTCAAGATGTTGTTGTTTTTGTGTGTGGAATTTTGTCACAGATCTTCTCCCTATGATTTTCTGGAGTCAGTGGCAAGGAGGACACGAGACTTTCCATACTGGCTCCATGTGGTACATTGTATTTACAGTGGGGACACTGACTTCTTTACAGGGTCATTGGTATATTCTTTGTTACTGAAATCTTAGCTACTGACTAGGATCTGGATCCATCTAAAGAGAAACGCATATATCTCTTGTAGGCTCACTTCTCCTACTTGATCATTGATGCATATATTTGTTCACCAAGTATTTATAAGCAGTTGTGTTTAAAGTTTGTCCTAGAAACTGCAAGGACACAAGGTAAGGAAGAAAGCTTTCTGGTTCCCAAGGAGCTTGAAACAGGAGTAGAAGTAGTAAATACTCATGAAGCCCCCAATATGGGAGATTATGGTGTTGCTTTGCATGTATTATACATCTTCAATCCAATTAAGAGGTATTTTTTCCAGATTTTACATAAGAGAAACTTAAAGCATAGAGAGATTCATGTAACTGTTATGGGATGAATTGTGCTCCAACAAAATTCATACACTGAAGCCCAACCTCCGGAGCCTCAGACTGTGACTGTGTGTGGACACAGGGCTTCTAAAAAGTAATTAAGGTAAAATGGGGTTATAGTGGTGGGTCCTAATCCAGTGTAACTGGTGTCCTTGTAACAAGAGGAAACAGACACAGATGCATATGTGTGCAGACAAAAGACCATGTGAAGACACAAGAAGGTGGCCATCCTTAAGCCAAGGAAAGAGCTCAGAAGAAACTGAACTGCTGACACCCTGGACTTGGACTTCCAGCCTCCAGAAATGTGAGAAAATAAGTTTCTGTTGTTTGAGTCACCCAGTCTGTGATAGTCTGCTACGGCAGCCCAAGCAGACTAATACAGCAGCTTATCCAGGGCTACACAGCCAGTAAGCAAAGGATTGTCTATGGAGTCCAATAAATATAAGCCTTAGAGATAGTGAAAATGGCACATGAGAAAAAAAGATAATTATAACACTTGATAAAAGCTAGGGTGCAGACAAATGGCCATGGCACTTCACACATCAGCTGGTGACTGAAATGCAATTAAGATTTAGGTAATCCAGGCAGAGAACAGCACAAAGGCATAGTGACAAGGGCTTGTACCCTTACAGGGGTA